AAAAAAACCAACAAAAATTAACGAAAACCCAACCACAATAACAAGAGATAAGAATAAAAAATTAATTTAAAAAAAAAAGGGAGAAATTATGACACTGGTTCTTTGGCACACAGCTTCCAATAGAGGGGAAAAGTAAAAAAAATATTAATAATAATAATAATTAAAGTTTTCAAATCCCAGCAGCAGCATTTCAGGCGACTGCACCGTTACTCCGCACATTTCAGAAAGGAAAGGAAAAAAGTACTTGTCCCCTCTAAGAGAAAGGGCTCCTCTGAACCTTCATCTGTCCACCGAAATGCAGCCCTTTTTTAGCTAGTTACAAAAGAAAAAAACCCAAAAAACAAAAGGTAAAGTCCTGTGACTTCATGTGATTAAAAACCTCTATCAACCCCATCCCATCCCCCATTAAGTGCAACTTAAAAAAAAGTGCAACAAACTATTTAAAACTATATACAGCAGCTCAGAGATCCGTTTTATCCGGTCCAGTTTCAAATCCAAAAAAAGCCCGTCCTGTTCTGTTGCAAACCCCTCGATTTACAACTTTCCTGCCCAGCAGCCCCCAGACACAAAATTCGCAATAATGTTAAAAGCTGCCAGGAAAGAAAAAAGGAACACAAAGAAAAACCACAAACCAAAACCAAACCCACAGGGAGGACAACGGGGCAAAAAAAAAAAAAAAGAAAAAATCATCATCTCGGTTCAAACGACTTAAAAACTGTTTTAAGAGTGTAAAAAGGAACTGGTAAAAACCCTCGAGCGTAAAATATGAAATATGATTTTGGTTTAAATGAAGAGCAAAAAAGTCTCCTTTGTGTTGTTACAGTAAAAAACGCCAGCTGAACACTCCGTTGTTTTTTGACGCCGTTCAGGTGGGGGTTAAATGAACGGGAAGGCACTGTATGGCAACGGCAAAAAAATGGAGCCAATGGGGACCTGCGCTCTCGCCATCGGTATTGCAAGGAATGTAAAAAAGCGCCTTTAATAAATAAACCCAGGTGAAGGTATCTGCATCAACACCTTCTCAACACGTGGCCCTTTTTAATTATTTTTTTCCTTTTTTTTTAACTTTTAAAATTTTTTTTCTTTTTCTTTCTTTTTTTTTCTTTTTTTTCTTTTTTCTTTTTTTCTTCTTGCTTTAGCAAACTTAGGAAACAAAAGTCTGGGAACTGCAGGATCGCTTGGGGGGCGCTCCTTCCCCGCCTCAAAGAAAATGACAAAAAAAAAACCCAACAAAATTCACTGTGCATTAGTGCAGAAGAAGGAAAAAATAAAAATAAAAAAGACCAGCAAGTGCAAACGTGAATGTAAGATCATTTTCGTTTGTTGGGGTTTTTCTTTATCCCATTATAAGTCCTTTGGGAAGCAGGTTCCCAGCCCGGGCCTGGCACCAGCAGGCACGCTCCTCTCCGCTCGGCAGGTTAAGAACGGAAACACAAAAACAAAAAACAGGAGTTAAAAAAAAAAAAAGAAAAAAAGAGGACTTTCCTCCTGCCCTCTTTAGCTGGAGTCGCGGTTCTTCTGGTTGCGCATCAGTGGGCGGTGGTGCCGCA